AGTTCAAGGTCATTGGAAGAAAAATTTCATAATTCGTGTCCGGTCCATATCTTCCTTATGGATAAACTTGGTAGGTTTTCATTTCACATAAAGATTGCCCATGACCCAAGGGTTTGTCATGACCTTGACCCAAGGTCATTTGGAGAAGTTCAAGGTCACTGGTAGAAAAATTTCATAATTCGTGTCCGGTCCATATCTTTCTTATGGATAAACTTGGTAGTTTCTCATTTCACACAAAGACTGCCCATGACCAAAGGGTGTGTCATGACCTTGACCCAAGGTCATTTGGGGAAGTTCAAGGTCACTGGAAGAAAAATTTCATAATTCATGTCCGGTCCATATCTTTCTTATGGATAAACTTGGTAGGTTCTCATTTCACTCAAAGATTGCCCATGACCCAAGGGTGTGTCATGACCTTGACCCAAGGTCATTTGGGGAAGTTCAAGGTCACTGGAAGAAAAATTTCATAATTCGTGTTTGATACATATCTTTATTATGGAAAAACTTACTTCTGAAAAACCCAGCAGGGGGTATTTTGTTCTGTTTGGACAGTTCTATTTGAATCAATAATCTAAGAAATGTCTATTTTGTCCATTTTTGCCCCACAGTGTATTCCAAAATTGTTTGCATTTTTAGCTCACCTGAGTTGAAGGCTCAAGTGAGCTTTTCTGATCACATTTTGTCTGGCGTCCGTCTGTCTGTCCGTCTGTCTGTCTGTAAACTTTTCACATTTTTGACTTCTTCTCAAGAACCGCAGGGCCAATTTCAACCAAACTTGCCACAAAGCATCTTTGGGTAAAGGAGATTCAAGTTTGTTCAAATGAAGGGCCAAGCCCTCATTCAAGGGGAGATAATTGGGAATAAATGAAAATTTGGTGGTATACTTTAAAAATCTTCTTCTCAAGAACCACTGTGCCAGGAAAGCTGAAACTTATGTGGAAGCATCCTGGGGTAGTTTAGATTCAAATTTGTTCAAATCATGACCCCCGGGGGTAAGGCTGGGCCAAAATGGCCGACCAAAGTTTTACATAGAAATATATAGGAAAATTCTTAAAAAATCTTCTTGTCAAGAATGACAAAGCCATAATTCATCATATTTATATGGAAGCATCCCAAGGTAGTGTAGATTCAAGTTTGTTCAAATCATGACCCCTGGGGGTAGGGCGGGGCCAAATGGCCGACCAAAATTTTACATAGAAATATATAGGAAAATTCTTTAAAAATCTTCTCAAGAATGACAAAGCCATATTTCATCATATTTATATGGAAGCATGCTCAGGTAGTGTAGATTCAAGTTTGTTCAAATCATGACCCCCGGGGGTAGGGCAGGGCCAAAATGGCCGACCAAAGTTTTACATAGAAATATATGGGAAAATTCTTTAAAAATCTTCTGCAATAATGACAAAGCCATATTTCATCATATTTATATGGAAGCATCTTCAGGTAGTGAAGATTCAAGTTTGTTCAAATCATGACCCCGGTGGGTAGGTCGGGGCCAAAATGGCCGACCAAAATTTTACATAGAAATATATAGGAAAATTCTTTAAAAATCTTCTTCTCAAGAATGACAAAGCCATATTTCATCATATTTATATGGAAGCATCCACAGGTAGTGAAGATTCAAGTTTGTTCAAATCATGACTCCCGGGGGTAGGGCGGGGCCAAAATGGCCGACCAAAATTTTACATAGAAATATATAGGAAAACTGAGTCTTTAAAAATCTTCTGCTCAAGAATGACAAAGCCATATTTCATAATATTTATATGGAAGCATTCCCAGGTAGTGTAGATTAAAGTTTCTTCAAATCATGACCATCGGGGGAAGGTGGGGCCCAAATGGCCGACCAAAATTTTACATAGAAATATATTGGAAAATTCTTTAAAAATCTTCTTCTCAAGAATGACAAAGCCATATTTCATCATATTTATATGGAAGCATCCCCAGGTAATGTAGATTCATGTTTGTCCAAATCATGACCCCCGGGGGTAGGGCGGGGCCAAAATGGCCGACCAAAGTTTTACATAGAAATATATAGGAAAATTCTTTAAAAATCTTCTTCTGCAAGAATGACAAAGCCATATTTCATCATATTTATATGGAAGCATCCTCAGGTAGTGTAGATTCAAGTTTGTTCAAATCATGACCCCCGTGGGTAGGGCGGGGCCAAAATGGCCGACCAAAGTTTTACATAGAAATATGTAGGAAAATTCTTTAAAAATCTTCTCAAGAATGACAAAGCCATATTTCATAATATTTATATGGAAGCATTCCCAGGTAGTGTAGATTAAAGTTTCTTCAAATCATGACCATCGGGGGAAGGTGGGGCCCAAATGGCCGACCAAAATTTAACATAGAAATATATAGGAAAATTCTTTAAAAATCTTCTTCTGCAAGAATGACAAAGCCATATTTCATCATATTTATATGGAAGCATCCCCAGGTAATGTAGATTCATGTTTGTCCAAATCATGACCCCTGGGGGTAGGGCGGGGCCAAAATGGCCGACCAAAGTTTTACATAGAAAAATATAGGAAGATTCTTTAAAAATCTTCATCTCAAGAATGACAAAGCCATATTTCATCATATTTATATGGAAGCATCCACAGGTAGTGTAGTTTATAGCTTTTTCTTCATGACCCCCGTGGGTAGGGCGGGGCCAAAATGGCCGACCAAAGTTTTACATAGAAATATATAGGAAAATTTTTTAAAAATCTTCTTCTCAAGAATGGCAAAGCCAAAATTCATCATATTTATATGGAAGCATGTCCAGGTAGTGTAGACTCAAGTTTATTCAAATCATGACCCCCGGGGGTAGGGCAGGGCCAAAATGGCCGACCAAAGTTTTACATAGAAATATATAGGAAAATTCTTTAAAAATCTTCTTCTGCAAGAATGACAAAGCCATATTTCATCATATTTATATGGAAGCATCCCCAGGTAATGTAGATTCAAGTTTGTTCAAATCATGACCCCCGGGGGTAGGGCGGGGCCAAAATGGCCGACCAAAGTTTTACATAGAAATATATAGGAAAATTCTTTAAAAATCTTCTTCTGCAAGAATGACAAAGCCATATTTCATCATATTTATATGGAAGCATCCTCAGGTAGTGTAGATTCAAGTTTGTTCAAATCATGACCCCCATGGGTAGGGCGGGGCCAAAATGGCCGACCAAAGTTTTACATAGAAATATGTAGGAAAATTCTTTAAAAATCTTCTTCTCAAGAATGACAAAGCCATATTTCATCATATTTATATGGAAGCATCCTCAGGTAGTGAAGATTCAAGTTTGTTCAAATCATGACCCCCGGGGGTAGGGCGGGGCCAAAATGGCCGACCAAAGTTTAACATAGAAATATATAGGAAAATTCTTTAAAAATCTTCTTCTGCAAGAATGACAAAGCCATATTTCATAATATTTATATGGAAGCATCATCAGGTAGTGTAGATTCAAATTTGTTCAAATCATGACCCCCGGGGGTAGGGCGGGGCCAAAATGGCAGACCAAATTTTTACATAGAAATATATAGGAAAATTCTTAAAAAATCTTCTTGTCAAGAATGACAAAGCCATAATTCATCATATTTATATGGAAGCATTCCCAGGTAGTGTAGATTAAAGTTTCTTCAAATCATGACCATCGGGGGAAGGTGGGGCCCAAATGGCCGACCAAAATTTTACATAGAAATATATAGGAAAATTCTTTAAAAATCTTCTTCTCAAGAATGACAAAGCCATATTTCATCATATTTATATGGAAGCATCCCCAGGTAATGTAGATTCAAGTTTGTTCAAATCATGACCCCCGGGGGTAGGGCGGGGCCAAAATGGCCGACCAAAGTTTTACATAGAAATATATAGGAAAATTCTTTAAAAATCTTCTTCTGCAAGAATGACAAAGCCATATTTCATCATATTTATATGGAAGCCTCCTCAGGTAGTGTAGATTCAAGTTTGTTCAAATCATGACCCCCGTGGGTAGGGCGGGGCCAAAATGGCCGACCAAAGTTTTACATAGAAATATATAGGAAAATTCTTTAAAAATCTTCTTCTCAAGAATGACAAAGCCATATTTCATCATATTTATATGGAAGCATCCTCAGGTAGTGTAGATTCAAGTTTGTTCAAATCATGACCCCCGTGGGTAGGGCGGGGCCAAAATGGCCGACCAAAGTTTTACATAGAAATATATAGGAAAACTGAGTCTTTAAAAATCTTCTTCTCAATAATGACAAAGCCATCATTCATCATGTTTATATGGAAGCATCCTCAGGTAGTGTAGATTCAAGTTTGTTCAAATCATGACCCCCGGGGGTAGGGCAGGGCCAAAATGGCCGACCAAAGTTTTACATAGAAATATATAGGAAAATTCTTCAAAAATCATCTTCTCAAGAATAGCAAATCCATGATTGGTCATGGGACTACTTTTGGATTGAAACTTTTCAATATTAAACCAATTTCTACTTTTCCTAGCCACAGTGCTCAGGTGAGCGATGTGGCCCATGGGCCTCTTGTTATACTTATTAAAACATTTCTTTTGGAAAGGCTTAAGTATTCATAATAAAACAACATATTGTTTGAGTGAACAGTGGGATGATAAATATTAAGTACTGTTCTTTAACATTCATAGATAATACATACATGTTTGGTTACCGTAGACTGGCAAATAATCGTGATGGTTTTAATTTCACTATCTTTGTGTTTCGTCATTTTTCCCTGAAATCAAACCCATAGTGAATGTTTTGAGAAATCGTGAAATCATAACACCATGGAATTAAAACGACTTCAGTATATAAATGATACTGTACATGTACATTATCTAACATAAACAAATTATTAAAACAACTTAATTAAAGATAAAGACAATTTTAATGAATAGAATATCAAATGTAAAACACCTGTACAATTTTAACATCATTGTTGTATAGTTATGATCTTCCCAATCCTGTTTGGAGCTGTGTATGGAACACAGATGACAGGAACTTTTTCTATGCTGGACAAGCTAATGGTAATGTGATGGAGTTTGACATTCGGAACACCTCGGAACATGTCCAGGAACTCAACACAGAGGGCATGAGGTCACCTGTCGTCTCCCTACAGTACATTCCAAAAGACATCCAAGCTAGCTTCAGGTAGTTTCAAAACTTTTGGAAATTTGATTTCCATGAACAGTTTTGTATGCTTTTCGATTTCCAACAGAAAAAATAAATAAATCTATTAAGAGTCCTTCAATCATTGCTGAACTATATTTAGTGACTTTAAATTTAGTCTGAACTAAAATACAATAGCTTAAATTTACACTACAAACTGATATTCTTTTAGTCATGATGGTAGAACATTTGAATTGTGACATTTTGTAATTTTAATAAATACATGATTGTATTTATTTCCTCTGTCAGACCTGGTGGATTAGTGGTTGGACAGCTGAACAAGATAAGCTTCTACGAGAAGAAACCAGACAACCAGTACAGGCTACATATGCTACCATTAGAGGGTAAGAAATCTCAAGTGGCACAAAAGCAGGAATAGTATGACGGGAAGGGGAGGAGTGACTTAAGTTTTAAATTTTGCTCACATGATTATATCTTTTGATCAGGAATTTGATATTCAATGTGGAAATTTTGGAAAACCAATGTGTATAAAATTATCTGTTTCATTAAATAAACAAAACAAAGAAAAAAACTGTACCATAGCAACATATTTGATTGATTTTTAGCAAGTTATTATGCAATTTGTTTTTAGGTAACTTGACCAGTCTCTGTTTTGAGAATCACACGAGGCACCTGTTGGCCAGCTTCAGACCAACATCCAAACATCCTACAGTTAGACATCAGGTATTTAAAGGGTTTTTATCATGCATCATGAATTTTTGATATAACAAGGTTTATATGCTTTTAAAATCATCCATCAAATTTTTTTGGTTAGAAAATTAATATTTTGTGTGTTTCAGCGATTCAAAGTTTAAATTTCTCAATATGCATATTTTGATCGCCGATGTTGTGCGCCATTGCTCTGACGTCATAGGTGTCAGTCCTGGTCAAGCGAAGTACTTATCGTGTTTACAAAACGGCTCAATGGCTTCGTCTTAAAACCCTACTAGAAATTAAATAATGATAATTGGTTAATTGATAGATAATTAGATATAATTTGTGGCGTTTGTATGAAAAATCAGCACAGGAAAGGTTTTAGGAAGTTTTTTTTACCTGCCAGGGACTTGGTCGGTGCGTGGATTTGTCTTCATTCAGAGCATTCGTTAATGTACGATCCCACATTCTGTATTATGTAAAATATCTATTTAATGGAAATAGTATTTTTCAAAAAATAATAATTTATCAATAGGCATTTTAAAAGTCCGGCACACACATCATGCACTATGTGTTGTGAAGTTCGTAATGGCGAACGGCGCCATTGAAGATCGAAGTGGCCTTTCTATCAAATGATGTTCATTGCTGGAACAGATAGAAGAAATACAAGATCTGTTTATGTATATTTTATTAAAATAACAAAGAAAGAAAACGTAGAACGACCATTTTTATTAGGTCACCTGAGTAAACTCAGGTGACCTATTGCTATCTGTTTTCGTCCGTCGTCGTCCGTCGTGTGTTAACATTTGAACATTTTCAGCTTCTTCTCATCCAATTTTGGCATAGAGCATCTTTGGGTGAAGGGGAACAAAAATTGTGAATTTCATGATCCCTGCCCCCCCTGGGGCCTGAGGGGTGGGGCCAAAACCACTAAAATTAATGCAATCTTTAAAAATCTTCTTCTTTACTCCTGGACATCAAGCAGTCAAACTGTTTGCATGATTGTAATTATCATTGAGTCCTCTACCAAAATTGTGAAATTCATGGCCCTGGGGTCAGGGGTTCTAGTGCTAGGGTGGGGCTAAATAAGTATATAGTGAAAATGCATTATTTCTTTGAAAATCTTCTTCTCTACTCCTGGGTATTAAATAAATGAACTAAGTACATAGTTATGATGAGCAAGAGTGCCTCTACCAAAATTGTGAATTTTATGGCCCCAGGGTCAGGGGTTCTGGTGTTAGGGCGGGGCTCTATTGATTATATATAGTGAAAATACATGATTTCTTTGAAAATCTTCTTCTCTGCCCCTGGGTATCAAATATACTAAATAAGTGCATAGTTATGATGAGCAAGATTGCCTCTACCAAAATTGTGAATTTTATGGCCCCAGGGTCAAGGGTTCTGGTGTTAGGGGGGGGGGGGGGTTCTATTGATTATATAGTGAAAATACATGATTTCTTTGAAAATCTTCTTCTCTGCTCCTAGGTATTGAATAAACTAACTAAGTGCATAGTTATGATGAGCAAGGGTGCCTCAACCAAAATTGTGAATTTTATGGCCCCAGGGTCAAGGGTTCTGGTGTTGGGGAGGGGGGGGGGCTCTATTGATTATATAGTGAAAATACATGAATTCTTTGAAAATCTTCTTCTCTGCTCCTAGGTATTAAGTAAACTAACTAAGTGCATAGTTATGATGAGCAAGAGTGCCTCAACCAAAATTGTGAAATTTATGGCCCCAGGGTACAGGGTTCTGGTGTTAGGGCGGGGCTCTATAGATTATATAGTAAAAATACATGAATCTTTGAAAATCTTCTTCTCTGCTCGTAGGTATTAAATAAAGTAACTAAGTGCATAGTTATGATGAGCAAGAGTGCCTCAACCAAAATTGTGAATTTTATGGCCCCAGGGTCCAGGGTTCTGGTGTTAGGGCAGCGCTCTATAGATTATATAGTAAAAATACATGAATTCTTTGAAAATCTTCTCCTCTGCTCCTAGGTATTAAATAAACTAACTAAGTGCATAGTTATGATGAGCAAGAGTGCCTCAACCAAAATTGTGAATTTTATGGCCCCAGGGTCAAGGGTTCTGGTGTTGGGGAGGGGGGGGGTCTATTGATTATATATTGAAAATACATGAATTCTTTGAAAATCTTCTTCATTGCTCCTAGGAATTAAATAAACTAAGTACATAGTTATGATGAGCAAGAATGCCTCTTTTAAAATTATGAATTTTATGTCCCCAGGGTCAGGAGTTCTGGTGTTAGGGGGGTGGGGCTCTATTGACTATATAGTGAAAATACATTAAATCTTGAAAATTTTATTCTCTGTCTCTGGATATAAAGCAGATGAACTACCTTTATAGTTATGATGAGCAAGGGCCCTAATCTTGCAGACTTGTGAATTTCAAGGCCCCAGGGTCAGGGGTGGGGTAGGGGCTCTACTTATATACTGAAAATGAATTTATTGTTTGAAATCTGCTTTTTTGTATTTATAAAACATTTATTTATTTTTTGATATTAAGGGTGCCTTTTTAAAATTTGTGCAATGTGTGGACCTAGGGTCAGGGGTTTATGTCACAGTGTTAGGGGCACTACTGAATAGTTGGAATGCATTTTTGTTCCCCTACCCTGTGTATGGGTATACAGTAACCAAGCTAAGCAACTGCTAAGTGTATTGTTATGATGATCAATGGTGCCTCTTTCAAAATTGTGAATGTCATATAGCATCTGGCTTAAAACATGAATCAAATTCAATAACTGGAAAGTTGTTGCATAATGCTCAGGTGACCTATAAGGCCCGTGGGCCTCTTGTAATTATTTAAGAAGTTAAACGTTAATAATTCGATCTATTTAATCGAAGTCAGGAGTTTTCATTAACGGCTTCGTCTTCAATGCCCTATGTATCCTCCTTTCACGGTATGTTTTTTGGTTATTTTTCTGTTGTAGAAGTTAATACATATAAGATTGAGCATCCATAGCCAAAGTTATATTGTCAATATCAGAATTTCTTCCAACCTAGTGGTGTATTCTTTTTATTTCATGCAAATATCTATACGGTAGATGTTTTCTTACGATACGCTTTACGAGGTCTAATTGCCCATTGACACCTATGACGTTTCAGTACCACGTGACCCCTATCTAATTAGTGGAGATTTTCAATCTGAAGACCCTACATTACGGACGTATTATGGCTCAAGTACGACAGTTTAAAACATTATTTTATAATCAAACGATAATTATATGTTCCAAAAATATAATAGTGTTTAATTTTTAAGAAATTTCGATGCGTGATAAAAACCCTTTAAGCATGCAAATACCCCACAGTTAGTCTTTCAGAACTAAAATCCAAACATCCATTGAATAGACATAGTTTTACTGTAGAAACACTCATAAATATATGCATGGCAATATTTTGTTCTCTTGATGAAGTATTCATCATTTAAATCTTTTCTACAAAAGATTTATGTAAAAAAAAAATTGGTAATTGTGACCATGACCTTTTTTTGGTAGCTATGTGAGATGACCTGTGTGAACCTCAGCGCTGATCCCACTGTCATTGACAATGGCTGTAGTTGTCATGTGATACAGACATTCCACGGCAGCCAGACACAGACGGTACTGACACGGACACTCCTAATGACTCACCCAGCGGACGACAGTAGAATGTTAATCTGTGCTGGAGTCGAAACAATCTCGGGGGTAAATATTGATATCTGAATTACAGCTTTTGCAAGCTACTATATAAGTGGTAATTTACAGAGAGGTCCAATTTTTGCACAAGTTTTGAATTTAGGTAGAATCCGAAAGCTTTTCTTGTTTCTTATTTCCATTATTGCTATGTGTAAATAAAAAATGCCAAATTATTTCTGTAACTAGATCTGAAAATAAGTAGATATTCATGCAAGTATTTAATCAAAAATTTTTTTGTTCAATGACTCTAGGTCCATATTTGGGACACCTCGTCTGGACAGCTCGTTCAGCGGTTACCAGCTGGTGGTATTGTGGTGGACACTTGTGCCATGTCAATCAACCAGCAAACGTATCTAGCTGCACTGACTGAGAAAAACCTTAAAGTTCATCGCTGGTGCTGATTCCCTAGAAATACCTCAACCAATTTTTGAATTGGATCTTTTGATCCAAGGTTTAAAAATCACAGCCTCTCTTCTGTGTGTCAGAGCAGACAGAGGGTTGTTTTTCGTACCGAGTGTAGTGAAGAACAATAACTCTAACACGGAACTGTGATATTAACAGCCAGTTTAACAAGTTGATGGTCCCAGAAGTGTTCATTGTACCTTGTCTTTCAGTATAAGAGTATGAGTGACTGTGCATGTACATGTACTGGTAGTAGTATGTTATGTTTAATCTTGTAGTCAAAAAAAAAAAATACATGCCCCAAGACAAAGAAAATAAAGAAGATTGTGTTCAAAATATTATGTACTTTATATATATTTTTTAATTAAGAGATAGTTTTTAGTTATCATGAATGATCAATATTCAGATTTCTGGATGAGTAACAAAGCAAAAGAAAGAAAATATTTCATTTTGACTTCTTCATCAGAAACAGGGTGAAACAAAATAAAACCCCCCTTTGGATTTAGGTTAGTGGAGTCACTCATGTTGGCTTGCACTATCATTTGAAAATTTTCAGCCCTTTCTTTGGAACCGTGGAACAATTTTAATATATTTTGGCCAGGGATGGGGTCGATTACTTTCAAAAGTAATCGATTAAATTACAATTACTTTGGATTTTAAAAGTAATCGATTACAAGCTGATTACAGACATTTTTAAAAGTAATCAATTACATCTGATTTCTTTTCCTTCCTGTAATCATGATTACTTATGATTACTTTAGATTACATTAAGTTTTTGTCTCGCCTGCGACGAATGTCGCGAAGCGAGACATAGCGACCATAGATTCCGTCGTCGTCGTCGTCGGCGTCCAACTTTTGGTTAACCCAAATGTCAAAGTTTTATAAACTGCAATAACTTTCTCAAATTTTATTCAGTCTTCTTGAAATTTGGACACAATATTCAGTATGGATAAAAATTTATATCCCAAGTATGATTTTGAAAAAAAAAATTCAAATTTTTCCGTATTTTTTCCTTAAGTTGGACTTAGTTTTTTCATGATAATTTATGGTGAAGACCTATATTCCAGCAACTATAAGTTATAGGGATATGATAATTAGTCAGTGGATACATCATGGGTAACCACAAACGTCAGTACCAGAATTAGGTCATCTTGACCTACATTTTTCTGCATGAGTGACTTTGGTTAAATTTTTGGTGGAGGTCCATATCTCAGCATCTATAACTTATAATGGCATGATGATTTGTCATTGTACAGGTTATAAGTAACCAACAACATCAGTACCAGAATTAGGTCATTTTGACCTACATTTTTCTGCATGAATGACTTTGGTTAAATTGATAATGGAGGTTCATATTTCAGCAACTATAACTTATAGTGGCATGATAGTTAGTCAGTGGATACATCATGGGTAACCACAAACGCCTGTACCAGAATTAGGTCATCTTGACCTACATTTTTCCGCATGAGTGACTTTGCATAAATTTATGGTGGAGGTCCATATCTCAGCAACTATAACTTATAGTGGCATGATAATTTGTCAGTGGATACATCATGGGTAACCACAAACGCCTGTACCAGAATTAGGTCATCTTGACCTACATTTTTCCGCATGAGTGACTTTGCATAAATTTATGGTGGAGGTCCATATCTCAGCAACTATAACTTATAGTGGCATGATAATTTGTCAGTCTACACATCATGGGTAACCAACAATATCAGTACCATAATTAGGTAATCTTCACCTACATTTTCTGCATGAATGACTTGATACATATACAGTGGATTTGATTTCAAAATGCAAGTTCAAATTATTGCGACTCATAACACGTTGCAATATTCGCAATAATAAAAACATCACAATAATTTGTGAATTTACAGGGTATATGTATATATATATAAATGCCAATATAATCGCCAAGGGATTAGATATTAAGTCAGCTGTTCCATTTCTTTATTATTGTATTTTTGAGTTATTCCTTCTGAAATGTCAATAAATGCTTCAGTTTATCAGACAATCATTTCTTACTAACCACAGCGACAGCAGGCGAGACACAGGGTTGCGGGCAACCCTTACGTACTTTTTATTTGTTTAATGTTCAAGGACAACAGAATGTTTTTTATTCAGTACTCTCTTTTTGAATAGCATTTATATTTTGAAGGTAGAATCTAGACAAAGTTTGGTGGTACATTTCTTTATATGGATGCATCAGATTAATTAAGTTCATGTTTTCTACCTTTAATACAAGTAAATATCTGTGTTATTGTTGAGATAGAAATAAAAAAAAATTATTTATGAAACTGGACATAATTATAGTTATGCATAAAGGGATTCGATAGAGAACTGTTACACAAGTAATTGACCTTCTTGATGAGCTTTTCAATTAAGCTGCCAATTACTAGATGTTTTTACAAGAATTAACACACTGACTGGGCAAGCATGGATAGTCCAATAATTGTTATAACCCAAGCTGACCAATCTTTTGTATACCGGTGTTTTATAACTAATTAATTCAAATATTTTTTATGTACATGAAAATCAAACAAAGTGATTTTTAGAATACATATCTCAATAAAGGAATATTTGATATTTAAAAAAAAACATGTTTATTCAAAAATATTTTTATAGGGAAAACAAAATGTTGCATTTCACACAATTATGTAAATTGATTGCAACAACAAAAAAAATCAAACTTTAAAATGATCCTGTAGTAATTTTCTTCAAGTTTAATTATACATATAAAGTCAAAATGGCGAATTGCTAATTATAAACTGCTAAAGTATTTTGAAATTACTACTGAATAAAGCTAGGAACTGATAGAATTTACTCATTGTCTGGACAATAGACCTAATTATAAGCATTTCTGGAAGCATTAAAAGACACCCAACTAAAAATAGGCTATAATTTAATAACTTTTTCTCACTGATATCATAAAAAATCATTATTTCATGAAATTTGTTTTAATAACTGTAATCATAAAGTAATCAAAAAGTAATCATGATTACAGAAATTTTTTCAGAGTAATCGATTAAATTACGATTACTTGTAATCAGAAAAATGGATGATTACTTGGCAAACTGTAATCGATTACAGCTAATAACGATTACCCCATCCCTGATTTTGGCATATGGCATCAAATTGAATGGGAACAAATTTAAAGAATTTTAATCTTTCAAATTCTTTCCTAGTACTTCTGGATATCAAGCAATACAGCTGTTTGTATGACTGTACATGTAACAAGCATTGACCCCGCTACCAAAATTGAGAAATTCATGGCCTCTGGCTCAGGTTTTCTACATTGATCTTATAGTTAAAATGTATTTTTTCCTGTAGAAAATGTTTGCTGCTCTTTTGTATGTTCAAAGCAAAGCAACTGGAATATCCAAATATGCTTATTTTTAAATTCAACATATAACCAGCACAATGACTTGATCTGTTTTCATTTTTTACCAGTATTTGTACTTTATTACATAAATAAAGTTCATTATGTACATATATACAAAAGTAGCTGCCTTTCCCACGAAATTTATTGCAGACTTTGAGTTACAACATGTGGTGCACTTTCTGCAAATTATTTTCCTGCAAGAAAAGACACTGAAAATGTGAATATTACAAAACGCAATAAAAAAGGATATCTTTTTGGTTACATGTACATGTATATGTTTAAAGAGTTTTTAACTATGTTTGCTAATCATTTGAAGTATTCTTGTCAAGACTTACCAAAGCCCCCGAATTTGATGTTGAGATAATTTGGCATGTTATCATCTTCATCTCTTTTATGGTTGGCTTTTGTTTTCAGGAAAGTAGAGACCACTTCCTCGATTGTCTTCACTGATATTGCCTGTAAAGATTAGAAAAATCAGCTTTTTTCAAAGAACTAAGTTATGATGTTTTAAGAAACATTTATCTACTAGTATATACAGCATAAGAAACTGAACCGACACCAACCCCCACCCCGAATCTGCTTAAAGCTTGTAGTTCACTCGCATCTTTGCGCACCGACGTTTGTTTGTGTGTGTATGTTGTATGTTGTTTAACTTCCCTCTTGAGAATTTTTCACTCATATGGAGACACCACCACTAGCCGGTGGAGAGCTGTAAAATGTGTCCTATGCTCGGCGCTAAAAGCCATTGAGCAGTGAGGGATCTTTTCGTGTCTGCACCTACTGCGACGCGAGACGTCGGTTTTTACGGTCTCATCCGAAGGACCGGTCTCCTCGTCCTACAGTGGGATTCGAACCCATGACGTAAGGGTACTCACTTTGCGACTTTAAAACAGACGCTCTATATAAGCACTGTGTCACGCACCGACTTTTGTAATGTGACGTGATATACAGCCAAGCCTCATTATATCAAACTCGACGCATCAAAGATAAAACCTACCCATACCGTAAAATCGAGATAATCAGGCAAATTAAAACCCAAAAAGAGTGGGGGACTGCTGATGCACTTCAAAATACCCCTCAGGCGCGGATCCAGATTTTTTTCCAGGGGCGGGGTCCACCCAAGAAAAAAAAAATCCAATCCTAGAAATTTCTTAACAAGCAAAAAAAATAAAAGAAGTCTACTAATAAAAGAAGACCACTTTTGCCTCAAATCTTTCACTTATACCCATTTTCACACATATTCGCGTTTACCAGGGGGAGGGGGTCAGCGTTTACCAAGGGGGTCCATGGTAACTTTTTTCTTGCTTTAGTATATATTACATTTTTTAACCTTGTAAATTCCAGGGGGGGTCCTGACCTCCGACCCCCTCTAGATCCGCGCATGCCCTAGTATATGAGAGATATCGGTGTTCGACTGTAAATTGTATTTTGTTATACATGTTATCATTACTTAGTCCACTATGTTTTGTGATAATGTGTTTTTCACCGATATAAGTAAACATAGAATTTATAACTAAATGACTTCAAAATCGATGCCCACTAGTACTAAATAGTACTTTTTAATTTCCAAATGTAGGCATGTACTGGTAAAAAAATTCTTCTAAACTATGAAAATATTAAACATATTTAGATATTTGAAATATTAATGTAATTCTGGCTTTTTGATTACTGGTATTATTATACATACACCTGTGCCATTAGAGGTTTGTAGGATTGTCCTCATAACATCTCCCAGCATCTTATCCTCTGTGTCTCGGATCAGCTTCACGATCTCTTCATAAAACCTGTGTATTACATATTAACGTATCTATATTCAGATATTCAGAAAGTTGTAAAAATACGATAATAGTACAATGTTAAGATAACATGTTTGCTTACTGTGGCGTGTTTTTCCATGTTATTTCTTTAGACAGTTCACTCAGCAGTTGTTTTTCCAAAGTTGATTTCACTTTGTTCTCAACTAAAACAGAACAACTGTATCATAATCATTGTCACTTATTCACTTACAACTTCAAAAAATTAGAATTGTCACAATTTGAATGTGGTTGGATGTGGAAATACACCATACAGCTATATTGGGAAAGGTATGTGCCGTTGAAATAGTCACTCAGGTCACAATTTTAATACTTGGTATAGTAAAAGCACACAAAGGAGTCGGAAGAAAATTAAAGGGGAAGAGGGGGGTTAAAACCAACAAAAAAAAAACGTTTTGGGTTTTCAATTTTCAATGCCTGTATAATGTCTATCTTTACTAAAGGCGTTTTCAAAATACTGCAACAAAAAGTGTTTGCAATGGGTAGGGAGGGGGTTGGAGTCTATAAACGAGCAACATTAAAGTACGCCTAAAAAGTTCTCAAATCGGACCCCCCCTCTCTTACAAAGGGCTTGGCTAGTATGGAAAGACACAGTCCAAGTTGTCACACCTACGTGTAGATAAAAAAGACCTCTTCTCAGTGATAGCCGCAGACTGAACCTTTAAGCATGTTGTCACTAGGCAGACCAATAGGATGGCGGATCTCATCTCTGTTGGCGTAAGTTAGTTACTTCTCTGAAAATAAGATATACGTATGTTTAATGGTCTTCAAGTAGGTGGTCTGATTGACAATTTTGAATTATATATGTTAAGGTTGTTCACAACCAGCAATGAATTCACATAAAGAATTTTAAAAAAAAAAAAGCTTTCTTGTAATAATTATGTTTATGCCATTCTGTGCTTTTTTGTCGGTTTACATCAATGAAAATGTGTATGAAGTATGAAAAAATATATTTTAAACAACCATTTGATTGGGAAATATCAACAGAGATGTGTCAAGGAATACATCAAGTATTTTAAGGTTTGGAAGTTACGTTTACTTCTACGACAAATATTAAACATTCGTACACGTAAGTTTCTCTTCGTCAAAAATATTGCAAATCAAATTATAAACCATTTATATATTTCATATATTTTACAGAGTTATTCTTCTTTGCGAATGGCTAGACATCCTTAATTACAACAATAGATGAAATGTTTGTGTGATGTGGCATAGATATTCTTTTTCTGACATTATAGGCACAGAACATAAAGAGATCAATTTGATCATTAAAAATTTACAGATTTTTTTTAAATATCGTACCTTTTAGATGCTGAATATTAGAATCCTTATCCAATTAATTTCGGTCAACTCCTTAAACTGGGGAGAGTCTTGGTAATTGTTGTATATAAAGGACGGTTGATAACCCCAATGACGCACATGTTGTTCCATTTCTGATACGGGGCTTCTGTCATGTTGGAAAATTATAAAATGTACTCACTAAAACGCAATATCAAACATACTATAAAGATACGGATAAACAAAATTATTGTGTCGTTGCATAATATCTGAAAAAAAAGGTTTATTGATAGCCTACTTAGTCCTTCACTTTTTTCAAGCAAAAGGTCGTTATGTTAACGCAGTACTTTATTATTTCATAAAATATATAATTCCTGGAAAATTCTCTTATTCCGCAGAAATGCATTGGATGACACATGAGCGCAAAATGAGCGGAAACCGAAACCAGGGATGAAATAAAATATATATTGGTGAAATACATTATTTTCACCTTAGCGGTCCATGCAAAATTTATTGTCCCCCGCTTTTGCGAAAGCGGAGGAACATTGAATTTCATACGTCCTGTCCGTCAGTCTGCCAGTCTGTCACAAAAACGTTAACCTTGGTCATAACTTTTGAATGAGAAGAGATATGACTTTCACATGTGAATTACCCATAATAAAACATTTTCAAATATACCATGATATATTTGACCCCTTGACCTTTGAAGTTTGACCTATTTTTCAAAAATCTTAATATTACTTTAAATTGGCCATAACTGTTTAAAGAGAAAACGAGAGCCTTCATATTACAGATGTTTATTAATTTTGTCAATGCTTTGTAAAATATACTATGATTTTTGAACTACTGTTCAAAATCTTTAATCTTGGGCATAACTTTTGAATAAGAAGAGACAAGGCTTTCATATTCCACAGGGTCTGTGCACTAGTATTACATGTGACGAGATCTTTCTAAATTAAATATGACTTTTGAACTCGTGGCCTTGAAGTTTGACCTACTTTCCAAAAATTATATTTTGTTATAACTTTTGATAGAGAAGAGATTGAGCTTTCATGTTAAATATTTTGGCTTGTGCATTCCCTGTGACAAGATATGTCCGAACATGCTATGAATTTTTACTCCTTGGCTTTGACTTTCATGTTTGACCTACATGTAACTTTCAAAATTTTCAATTTTGACATGTTATAGCACTTTACCTAAGACATAGAAGTGTACTGCTTAGCGGAATAGTACTGTGGTTTTATAAATATTCAACACCAATTTTTATCGCTGTCAAGTCAAACCTTGAATTGAAAATGAAATGTTCCTCAAAGTTTGATGCCTCCATCACAGACACTTTTTACTTAATTCACTATTTTTGGTTATAATGAGTATTCATTTTGATTTATAATGTTATTATTAGTATATTGAAATTGAACTACTGACCAGTGGTGGGAGAATTAAGGTCATGACGTCATTGTTCTAAATATAGAGATCAGAAGGTGACCCATATAACCATTAAGTAATCTCCAGTGATTACAAACCAGGTGTAAGATAAACTGTCCATCGGAGTAGGCATAAACGGAGGAAAAAATCTACTTTCTCTCTTTTCTTTATACAAGCTTTATAGGTAGGTTGGTAAATGTAGATGTTCCCGGCCGCGCGGATCTAGAGAGATAGGTGGCCGGGGTCTGAACGCAGGTTCCTTCTGGGTTTTGAGAGAAGTTTCATGCTTAAAGTTAAGTAACCACAAAGTTGACGTTTGAAACTCGATCGATTAAAAACACAAACACCCGATAAAATGGTAAGGAGAGTTCTATATATACACATGTACATGTATATGAAGGACTATTTCCTTCTCCTATCCCTTACCCGGTTCCACCCACCCGCACGCGAAATAGAATTTATGGAATAAGAGGCTGAATATCTTTCTGTGATTTTCAAGACATTGATGCAAAATAAAATAAAACGTCCTGATTGATACATCAAAAATCCAGCTGGGGCCTGTTTTACAAAAGGACTTACGACTTAAGTCCAATTTAATTCTTCATATAACTTTTTAATTAACATTATATCGAAAATTATTTTTATCTTTTTAAAAGAAATGTGGTAAGATATTTTTACACAAACAATTTCAAAGAGAATTATTAATTTTGCAAAATTTTACAATAATCTGAAGTTTTTGGTCTTAGTCGTAAGTTCTTTTGTAAAACAGGCCCCTGTATCACATTAACGTAAAAAAAGAGTGCAGTAAATTCGGAAAAAGTTAAACCACAGTGTGAGTATCTTTATTTAGGGAGCTACTTCGAAAACATCCGGTGTAAATAAACCACTTGGTCTTGGAAAACTAGTGCGATATGCAAAAGTACATTTTACTTTTGTTAGTCTTTGTAATGAGTGTTGCTTGCACTTTATGTGTGCCAAATGTCAGAGGTAAATAGACTTCTTTTCGTAACAGTTTCAAACAGTTAATTACAATAGACTTCTTTTTGTAACAGTTTCAAACAGTTAATTACAAGAGATATACACCGTAAGCTCACTTCCTAGTTTCATTGATCAAAATATTGAAAGTAGTGGGACTGTCACAGATTTGCAAAAAATACGACAATATCTATACTTATACCTGTTTTTATGTTGCAAAAACATCTTGAAAGTGACATAATTTGATTGCGAATGAAGAATTTGTATTCGCTTCTAATATTGACCTTTTTAAACTCAAAATTAGCTTTAGTCAATGTTCGTTCATTCACAAGACTATTCTGATTTATACAGTGTTTGAACTGTCGCAATCACTATCATCAGTTGCATAGTATTTGCATAATCTATCCATATTTTAAGTTTTCTTAAATCCACATTGATTTTGATATTCCTATTTAATTCCTTTTGAAAAAAATAAGAGATATCTAGGTTGTGGGGAAACAGCATGGAAATCTAACTCACTAGTGACTTCAACATATCTGGGGTATTTGAGAAATTTATATTTGAGATACTGGAGTTGAAATATATACAATAAATTTGTTTTTTTTCTTTTAGAAAATTTGACATAATGACAGAAAAACAACATTTTGTTGTTATTGTTTGACTGTCTATTAACTTCTTTTGTTTCATTTTGGTTTAGTATTTGAACAAAAGTCCCATCAGCCATCACAGGAAACCTCCCTTAGAGGCTGTAAGTGTGTGGGATACAACTGTGGCTGTTGTCAACATTTAGAAGTGGATGAGATACACCTTAATGATACAGGTAAACTGAAAGGACTTAAAAGAAGTTTTTGTCTGTAAATTTTTAATAAATTTTTAAGTATTAAAAATGTAAGCAACAAGTCCCTGCTTTGGATTAAGGTAGGATTCTTCTCACATTTCTTGTATTTAAAAATTAATGAAATTTTCACAGAATCAAGAGGACAATATCACTATGTGATGGTATCAGTGAGATTAAATTTGACTGTTTAATATTAGAGGCAAGGTCAGGTCAAGGTCATTACCTTTTTCCTGGACATTAAGAATAAAAAATTACTGTTTCCAATCATGCGATCCCTACTTGTAATTCAAAAGATTGAATGTTTTTCTTTTTGCATAAAAAGATACTACCATATAGAGCCTAAAAGATGATATTACCAAATTGACATGGATAATGTAAATAAAATGAATATTTGCTAATCCGAATTTCCTCTACCTAACTTAAATTTTTAGGATTTATTAGTTATTTTTATATGCTTCCTATATTTAACTTTTTTCAATTTTCACAAATAGTAAAGTTGTCATATAAAGGTACAAAATGATACAGTTTCTAAAAGTTTTGATCGTTTACTAAGAGAGAAATAACACTGTTTACGAATTTTTGGCTCAATTCTGTACTTAGATTTGAAGTATTTAAAAGCCAACATAGTTTTAGTGTGTGTGAAAAATCTTATTTATTTGATATATTTTAAAGCTTTAGTCCCTTATTATTAATTTAACTTACATTTGAAAATTTCGTCTAGTCTTTGATTGTGTAAAAATTATAAATAAATTCAATGTTCTATAATAATTCTGAGAGGCAGAAAAGAAAGATATTTTCATACGCCACCATTCCGCCAAAAATATAGTCCATGCTAGTTTTCAAACGCAGTTCACCATTTCTATTGAAAGTTGTATAATTGTGATGAGGAAAGAAAAATATGGTATTTTAAATCTCTTACATCTAAATATATAAGACATATCAACAAATGTACTTTGAATATTCCATCTAGTCAGAAACCAGAGAAGAATCCTACCTTAGCACTAATTAGAAGTGTTTATAGTTGATGTCAATACCTGTATACATGAATGTTTAGAATTGTACAGTGTATGTAAAAAGGTGTGTATGTTTATTTCATATTACATGTACTAGTATTTTGAAATGACATTAACTCTGTTAAACAAGTTTATATCAAACCTGTTGAAATGTGTATGCTAAATGCAGTAAGCTACTAGACAGCATTTTTCATATGAATTCTATTCTGTATGAAATATCATGGATCTGTTGATTATTTTTCACCAATAGCTATTTTATTTTTCAAAGAATAAAGGGGGAGGGGGTATTAATTAAGGTTAAGAATTGGAAATGATTTATGGTAAACTATATTGACTGGTATTTATAATAATTCTTTGAATGGTTTGTATGTTGCCCATGATCAGAAATAGGAATTAAAATTCAAAGGTCATTTCCATCAATCCTGATGTCTGATTGACTTCATTTGCATTGACCTAGAGGATCCCATTGTTGTGAAATGAAAATTTAGAAATAATTGTCTACTGAGAATATTTTATAAATAATACCAATGAGTTTGCATTTTTATAAACAATGACAAATCTGACGAAAGTACCATATCTTTTATTTTGAGAGAGAGAGAGAGAGGTTTAAGTACCTGTATGATAAGTTATTGTAAATCATTGAGACATTAGATTACTTGTTTAAGGAGAAAAAAAATCTTCGTGCAAAAAATGTACTAGTAATTGTTGTATCTTGCATAACCGACTTTGCATACATAATGTATTGAATTCATTTTTGCATTTTTTAAACATTAAAAAGATTGTTTAAAAAATGAATTAAATGCTGGTGTTTTTCTGACAGTGTGTATAAATGTGACGTATCTGGACAAGGACTACGGACTGGAGGTAACACTGAGTGTAGATGGACATGTCTACATCAACGCCTCCGTATCAGGTATGTACAAAATTATATAACAGGTAAACAGCACTTTGAAGTTGAAATATGTGGTTTTCTGTGGATGAATATACTTGTCCATTTTATGTTTTTCCGTATAGTACTTTCATGAAATGCAAATGTAACGTCGTATGACAAAGAAAATAAATTTAGAAATTACATTTTTGAAATATGAATTGAATGATGAGTAAAAATAAATGTGTTTAACGGTTAAATGATTCTTTTATGCACTGTGGTATATGCTCAAATAATTATTTGAATACAAATAAATTCTATATCTTTCATTGTGTTAGCTAGTTGTAGACCTATGTTTAACCAAGTGATGCTCGAAAACTCGTTCTCTGCTCCTTGCAGGGTCCCCAATCTTAATCACTCGCAAAATTCAACCACATAAAGAACGCAGCTCTTGTATAATTTTGAAATAAATAAATTTTGATTATAATTTTAAGAATATCCTGTCTAAAAGACTAAAATTTTGTACGATTCTCAGTTAACCGTGGATTTCCAGTAGGGCGTGACTTTCTAGACACTACTTACTTAACGTCTCTCAAATGGCAAATAGATTCTCATTGGTTAAGAAATTAATAACATCAGCAACTTTAAATTGTTGTTGACACTGATGAGACAACTTTAGCCCCACCTCTCTGCCGTACGAAATGTTATTGGATCATTGATAGACTCGTTGACATTCGTTGGAATGTATTTCAACAGTGAATGATTGATACATGTAGATAGATTGATTGATCGGTGTTAAACGCTGAGTCGGCAATATTTCAGAAAGACTGTGTAAATTTCAGATGCTTATTATGTAACGTCGAAAATACCACGCCTTACTGAAAGTCCAAGGATAACAGAGAACTGTACTATATTGATCTTCATTTTGGCCATTAATAGTGTTTGGTTTTTCTAACTACTACGTTTAGCCCGGAACCCCCCTCCCCTGTGTGCCGCTATACCGGGTCTTAAGGACCTCGCCAGTCTGTGTCTGCAGTTCTACAACCTCAGTGCCAGTCCCACATCCGTTTCCGGTTGTGTAAGGGTCGTGGCGAAACTGAAGTATGTCACCGTGGAGAAGATAAACATTGGTTGCTTTAAGATACCACCTTCTCACAGGAATCGATTGGAATCTCATCAGTCGAGGAGGCACGATTTTCTGGACAAAGCAGTAGAGTTAAAGGCATGGGACAATTGGTCCGCTTTAAGGAAATATTTCGACTTAGACAGAAAACAAATTAAACAGATTTGAGACGTTTAAAAACCAGCTTTTATCTCCACACTTGCATTCCATTTTCTTTTCACTCGGATAGCAAGCGAAACAAAGATTGTAGCTTTTTCAAATAAAAGGAAATACATGTATAACAAACTGCTTATTAGTGTTCTTGGTAACACCGAATCTTTTACTAATAACTTATTTACCAATTTAAGTTTAATATATAGCTTGAAAATGTTCATGTTTTCTTAGAGTTGTTATGTTCTACACACAATGTAATATTTGTATGTTTAATCTAGAGAAGAGCGAAATTTCATTTCACAAGATTAAGTACCATGTTAAAAAAAGAATGCCACGGAAATATTACAGGTGTAGCTTAAATTGCACTTATTAATTTAAAATTTATGATTGTGTTTTGAAAAGTGATTAGCATTTACCGTCATTCTACAACTTTTTAAAATAGATTATATTTTGTTCAATTGAAAATGAAATTCCTTGTAAGAATAAGGGTCGATGATTGACCCATTATAACGGAAAACAGGTTGTATATGTACTTTGAACATTATCCCGTCAGACGGATTTATATACATAAAGATATGTACACACTAGCGGCAAAGCCGATTTGTATCTGTTTATAATGTTGTTATTATAAATAAAAGCCAAAAATGGTAGGAAATGGAGTGTTTGTATTTGTGATTAAACTTTCCCACATTTATCTAATCTCTTGAACTTCTCAACAGGATTATGCAAAACAATATAACAGGCCCTAGTCAGAGAAGCAACTAAGGTTGATTCATGTGTATGAACGCTATCAAATGTTCCGGATACTTTGTGCTTTCGCGGCGGAAACTGGGGCTAAGTTCGTTAAATCCTTCAGATGGCGCTGCAGATTTCACCAAAGCGCCCTCTAGACCTTGAAACCGCGGGTCATCGGTAGTCTTTGCATAAAATGAATGCAGAGGAACAATTTCAGAAAATATTCCATTCTCTTCATCATATGTATGAAATACTTGAGTATGTCCATTAGCATCCTTTAATTTGAATATCACATGGCGTTTGTTATTATTGTCATTGTCTTCTAGGGAAGGTAGCTTCAGTGTCTCTAGTTCCTCGGTTATTTCCGTTGGTTGTCTCTCCGGAGACTTGACGGACGTCCTGCTTGGTATTCTCGTGGGAGATGAAGAAGATTTGGGTTTCGGTTCGATTTCCGGAAGTGTTATTCCAGCTTCTTGAAGTCTTTGTTGACGTCTCTTCTGACGTGTTAGGAACGATTTCTTGTGCAGGTCTAGCAGACGACACGAACGATGTTGTTCCACTTTGATGTGCGAGAGTTTGACATCAAGCATCTGTTGCTGTGTAACGTTGTCATACAACAATACACGTGATACATTTGTTTTGGGGAGCGCGCTTTTCCTTTTCTTCCCCAAATTCGGCATAATTGTTGGGGGGTTGTGCATATAGTTCAGATTAAACCCCTTTGACTTTGTTTCTTTTCTGTCATCTGTAGAAGATCCAGCCTGCTGAAGGCGTGGTGACTTTTGCCTCACTGACTCCATCTTCGTTAACCTGAAAAAATATATTGAAAATAGCATAGCTAATGTGCATAAATTGAGCGATCATTCACCCAACATACCTCTAAATATTTACCTGGCTTTACAATCGAGATAAGAGGCTGCTCTTCTTTAATTTGGCAGGCCTATAAATCATTGAGGTGCAAATCTTTCAGATTGTTTGTTAAATGTGCCACCGATGCCCTCATGGTACTTGTTTTCTAACCTCCTTCTCGTTAATCAAAAAATGAAATTGCACTCGCATGCATATATGCATTAAAAACCCACAAACCGTCTATGGTTATCTTATCAACATATACAGACTTCGGCCTAACAGTACCCTCTTCCGGCAAGTTACAACAGAGATCACTTGAAGTCTTTTATGTGATACTTTGCGCTTCGTTATCTTTCAAGTACAATACATGACAAACACTAAAAAGTGACAGAGAGAATTCTGGCTGATTTATGATCTCTCTGCGTTGGTTTCTTTGTGTGAATCGCCCCATCTTTAGATTGCATCGCACCACTAGCATTCCACTGTACAAAGCTATAGGTGTCACGTGAAGGATAAACTTCAAATACAATTTTAAACATACTTTCATTCTTTTCTTGGATATTAATCCTGATCAATGTTTGAGGGGATTGGGTCAGGAAAATATTTTTATTTGATTGAAAAATACATGGAAACAGATAGGTTAACCGTGCCAGATTCACCGAAATGATCGAGCGTAACACAGTTAAAACTGTAAAACAAATTTCTGACAAGGGTCACACTGCGGGTGTGACAAGTCGGCGGGGATGCTCACTCCTCTATGGTACCTGATCCCACCTCTTATGATTTTGCTCTGCTGACCTAAGCTAATTTTGTTTTAGAATAGTTTTTTTGAGTTTTCAGTTCTAATTATTTGAAATTGTGTCATAGATGAATATCAGATTTAAAGAATTAACACAAGGCGTGGCCTCCACAAGTTCCTGTGTTTGGGTTTACAAGATTTTGAATTGAAAGGTTTTATTAACAGTTAACGTGTTTAGAATCATAAGTTGTATGTAAATTTAACAACTTTTTTAATCATAGTTTACGAATGTGAATTATATTTTATGACGATAAATCATGATAAATTTAAAACATAATTTATCTCTCAAAACTATTCTAAAATTTACGACTGTACGATTTTAATCATAGGTTACATCTGCTTAATATGTTTACGAAAATATACTCATTTTAAAATGACTAATTATAATTTTTTAACCAAAATTTATTGTTATAATTAATGAAAAACAAAGTTTATTTGATAAATATACAATTTAGTTTCAAGATTTGTAATATTTTCCGTATTAAACATTTCATGACTGTTTAACAAAGAACTATATGCGGTATATTTGCCCCCATAAAAGTCAAATTTTGAAAACTTCCTGAAATGTGCTGAATTCAGTAAATTGTATGAGAAATATAAATTAACAGAAAATATTATAGTGTCAAAGCAGTGTATTCACAATTTTTGTTTTTATGACGTCACAAACTAGTCCGATTTTATATCCTTTTTCAGAAAGAGGACAAAATGGACAAAATTTCAACAATTTTAGCTTTAAAATTTATAGAGCGCAAGTTTGTTCAGGAACAATATTGACATATTTCATTGATATTATCATTCTACACATTATATCAAAATATTGATCCTGAACACACATGCGCTCGGTGACTTTTACTCAAAATATCGACGAAATATGTCCATTTTTCTGTAAAATTCATAAAAAACTGAAATTTACGTCATGTTTGTGACGTCATTACGTACATATGGCGTCATTACTTATGAAAATATTCAGTGCTTTGACGTCAGCATATACTCCCCTGTTTAAGAACTTAATTAAATATATCTCCATCAAAGTTTGATATGGGGGGCAAATATTGGTTATTACTAGGGATGTCAACGAGTACCCGGTTAACCGGGTACTCGATCGTACGTCCGAGTATCGAATACTAAAATCGGTACTCGGTTACTCGGATGTATATTTTTGAATATTTCAAAGCTTTTTTATTAATGCATTAAACAATCTGTTTTAAAACTTAAAATTATCATTGCACTTTTACCTACAGTAATTAGGGTTTCATACCCCTCTAAATGACCGTTATCGCCCGTGGCAGTGTTTATACAGTAATTATCGTGACCAAGCACCTGTTACCTGGCTTTTCTCACCTTCGGCTGTCTTCTACCCTTATTTTTGATTTGCTTTAATTATTTGTTTTCACTGAACATCGTTTAAGGTCTGTTATAATTAAATAAATTAGATAATTTTGTCAATTCTCCGAGAAACCGTACATTCTCGGGGAAAGAGACAGATGATATTACACGCGCGATTGTTGATATGGTTGCGTTTGATTACATGCCAATACATTTACAAATCGTTGAAAGCAAAGGCTTTAAAAAAAATAATGTCAATCGTTGCACCAAACTACAAAATACCGTCCCGTAATACTATAAAATCTAGGATCGAAAAGTATACGAAAATCGTAAATCCGCTCTGTTAGAACTTGGTCAAGTTTAAGTCAAACTGTACGACTGATACCTGGACGTCAAACGCAACAAAGAGTTACATTACAATTACGGAGCAGATTTTTGTTTAAAACAAAAAAACCATGAACAACTTACGATTTTATTTCTTGTGTTCATCTGATAAATAAATTGAGTGTTGTATTAAATTTCGTCGGGCACGAAGTGCTCATCATTGTTATGCATTTACGGGTAAACCTCCTATCAGAGCATGTGGTTTTATTTCTACAAGTCTTGGAAGAGAGTTTACAATGTTTTACATTCATCAATTTACTTGTTCTTATTTATTTACACTTTTACCGAGTACCCGGGTACTCGATCGGAGAAACGTCCGAGTAACCGAGTATTAAAAATTGACCGATTTGACATCCCTAGTTATTACCGAATAAAGTTCTTTAAGACCTTGTATTAAAAAAAAACTATGTATGTTTTTATCTAATTTCGTAAATTTGGCGAAACATTTCGTGACTGTTTAACAAATTTAAGACCTTGTGTTGAAAAAAAAAATATTTATTTTCATCTAATTTTGTGAATTTGGCGTTCCATAGATGGGGTTTTTCAACATACTTGTTTCTCTTAGAACCAACGCGCGTTTCGGTACGCTTTACACATAACATATCATAGACACTTCATGAATTTCTAAAAACCGATACTATTTAGCACAGTTGGCAACTTAAATTTTAGAGGAGATCAATTACTGTGGTAATTATATAATCTTACCTTGGAGAAAATAATTGACGCAAAGAAAAATTAATTCATAGTAGATTCTGAAGACATAAATTGATATAAGACGGAACACCTTAAAATTGACATATTTCATGCATACGTTTGAACGAATAAAGTTTGGGCCTAACAGCTTCTGTTGGAATCAATTTATAAAAGGTAACATGGTTCGTATCAGGACCAGGGTACATCTATAGATTGTTCTGATCACACGTAGATGGGTGGACATCACTTAGGAATTTCAATAGAAAAAGAAATAGGTACATGTATCTAATACAGTAAGTTACTTATATAATTTAAATTCAATAAACTGAAATAAAAATCACGAAAACTGTTTTATACAATCGCAATTATTATTCTGTAACCAGAGTTCTAATCAATAATTTGATTTAAATTTATACCAGTGCCCAGAGTATGTTTTTGAATAAACCGTCTCATTACCTCTCTCTTACAAGCAAAGACGTCAATCATCTTGCAAAAATAAGATTGAATTGTGTGAAATAATGTAGATTTTCAATACCATGAATTCACCGTAAATTCTCCCTGATGTGTCGCAAGAGTTCTTCACGGAGATTAATTTCATCCCAAGATTAAATTATTGATGCCTTGATTGGGTTTACGTAGTAAAACAGTAATTTTGTCAAGAGAGGACGGTGCCACTGATAGACGACCATTGTCAGAAGGTGGACAGACAAGCGCCAGAACCCGTGGAATTGTTGACAATGGCTTAGCCACGGTTTAACATTCCCAAGTTGGCCCCTGGTTTCTCCAATAGGGGGTCAGGGAATCGCTATATCATTGTCTTACATTGAAACGGGTTATCTGAATTGACATGCCCAGGTGCTTATTTTAATAAATAGATTTTTTTTTCTATTTCGATAGCTGTTGTTATTTAGTGAAAAGGAATTCTCTTGCTTTCTGAGTTACTTCAAAGCCATGATGGCATTTGGAAACATGATTGAAAGTAGGAATAGTTTTCTCTGTCAATAAATTTAATAGGCCTCTGATTAAAACTAGAGATTAACAATGAACTAAATTTATATTCATTTTTGTCATTGATTTTTGGATATGTAATATATTTTCTAGTATATTTATAAGAAAACTTTTTTCTGCATGTAATCCGCGTTTTGCAATATGGGTTCTCCCTTGCCAGGTACATTTTTCACCCTACTAAAAACATATCCACAAAATAAGCTTCTCCAAGAAGCTAATTCTTGTTATGTTGCTTTTATTTAAGTTAATTTCCGAAAACTAGATGAAAGAGTGATTAAGATTTAAAATTATAATGTAAATCTTGAATAAAACAGTTTATGCCTAGATCATACAGCTAAAAATTATAAACATGTATTTTAATTTCCTATATGGAAGATATAACTTATTTTTTACAATTTTGAAATTTTTTGAAAAGGCATAATTATACTTACATAAATAATTCCGCTGTAAGCAACTTTCAGAACCACCAATGTCTACATCATATGGTCTTTGGATACACTTAAAACAAACTATCTTCACAAGAACAACAAACCCCGTATTTCCCCTCCCAGTCTCTACCCCTTACTGATCCGTTCTAGCTATCACCTCGCTGTTTTTTATCCTTTTAAATTTTTAAAATCCTATTACCACTGTATTGCAATGAGTGGGATGTTTTATATTACGATATGGCGGGACTTGTCGGATAATTGGTGTGATCCTGGGATATATAGAATGTCCATAGCACGTTCTCAATCATACCCGGGATTTAAATTTTTATATACAAATTTATATACATTTATTCTGTAAGCTATTAGAACCCTGTTGTTAGATATCCCATTCAAATTCTCCCTGAATATGTTGTAAATAGTTCCGTCAAATTAAGATCTTTATCTCTTTGTGTTGACAATGGCTCACTACCTAGCTCTCGATTTAAACTTGCTTTGTTATTGAGCTGCCATCGCCAGATTAAGAATTACATCTGTAAGACTGACATGCCCCATTGAAGAAGCTAATTTTAATTT